TCAGTTTCTGCCTGTAGGTCGGTATAAGATGAACCAAACAGTGACCAGAGAGCCCCAAAGCTGCCCGTGGGACAGAGTGATATGCATCCTTTATTTTGGTGTAACAGTGATCTCTGATGATCAGAGTGAGCTCTGGTGAGACATGTAACATGCTGTCTGTATTTTGGCAGTTCACAGGAGAGATTTGCTTTATTAAAGTCCCCGAGAATGATTAAAACAGAGTCTGGGTGTTGTTGCTCTGTCTCTGTGATCTGATCAGCGAGTTTCTGTAAAGCCAGGCTCACGTGTGCTTTCGGTGGTATGTAGACACTTCTGAGAATGAACGAGCAAAACTCCTGTGGCGAGTAGAAAGGCTTACAGTTAATGAAGAGCACTTCTAGATCAGGACAGCACATCTTCTTTAACACAGTTACATCTGTACACAACCTCTCATTGATGTAAAAGCATGTCCCTCCGCCACGCAATTTCCCCGTTGATTCTGTGTCGCGATCCGCTCTGAACAGCTGAAAGCCCGGCAGATGTAGCGCACTGTCCGGTATGGCGTCATTCAGCCAGGTTTCCGTGAAACACAGAGCAACAGAATGTGAAAAATCCTTGTTTATTCGGGAGAGCAGAAGGAGTTCGTCCGTTTTTTTTGGGTAGAGAGCGGAGGTTCGCTGGATGGATGCTAGGCAGCGCTGTTTGAAGTGCGCGCTGTCTAAGCTTCAGGAGCGCGCCGGCTCGCTTCCCACGCTTGTGCGTCCTGAAGCATTTGATCAGCACCACTGCCTCCGCCAACTACAATGTCCAGCAAAACATCAGAATAGTCGAAAACCGGTTAAATATTGGGTGGTGTGTAATGCCGAATGTCCATCAATTCGTCTCTGGTGAAACTGATTGCAGGGATATAACTAAAGACAGGACAAACTAACAAAAACATAAAAACAAATGCGGAGCACGCCACGGAGGCAGCCATCAGCAGCGCCATCACGAGTCTTATCAAATTTAGTTATACATAAAATTATGTATAATACATAAAATATTAAAAACAATGAATTTTAAATGATACATTTTAAAATTATTGCAATTTTTATTATTGATTTTTTATTATTCTTAAATTAATACATTTAATGTATGTAAATATGAAATTATAACTTTACATTCCTAAAATAAATAAATTAAATAAATGTTATTTACTGTATAAATTATGTTGGGACCTTGCCTGATTGGGAAGCAAACTGAATCACTACTGTTGAGCCCTGTGTTTAATTAGTCAAGGAAGATAAAACACTTGTTAAGCTGAGGTAATTAAAAAAAAAAAAAACTAGCCGTCACAATCACCTGTCACCACTTCACTACATTTCCCAGCACCCTTCCTGACTCCCCCCTGCACACACACCTGCCTTCAATCACCTCATCACCTCAGCCGAGTCTGAACCACACACTCGATGATTGTGTGGCCTCCGGATACCTATGCCACAGAGGTCGATCAAATCTCCTTTTCTCCTAGTTCCTTCGTCACAGCCACGGAGGTCGATCCTAACTCCTGTATTTCCTGTCTTCCTAGCTCCCTTGCTACGGCCATGGGGGCTTTATCTATAAATACAGGTGGCCTGCTGCCGCCAGCACCACCTTGGTCTCCAGTACTGCCTGCTCCTCCATGGCCCACCCTCCCTTCCTGGTTGAATTCTGTTACTGTAGGCATGGGGTCACACTTTCCGGGAGGGGGAGTACTGTCACGATCACCTGTCACCTCTGCACTACATTTCCCAGCACCTTTCCTGGCTCCCACCTGAACGCACTTGATAATCACTGTCACCTGCCCTCAAACACCTCATCCCTATATATTTCTGCACCACACACTCGATGATTGTCAGGTCTGTAACTAGGACTACTCCTGTTACTCCCGTGATCTGCTCACATGTATACTCACCTTGTGGATTCTTCCTCATCTCCAAAGCTCCGGTCTCCTTCTCCAGTCTCCAGTTTCCATTGTGTTCACCTATTAAGACCTGCAAGAGGAATATACAGCTCCCTACTGATTCCTCCTCCAGTCTCCAGCTCCCCTTGTGTTCTCCAAGACACTGTTAGATAAGACTAACATTTATTATATTTCAGCTACCAAAGATCCATAAGTGTGTGTGGTGCTACTCACCTCCTTCCATGGACATTACTGTTCACCCTGTTGTTGTTGCATATACTTTACTTCTTTCCTCATTTAGGCTCAAGAATCTCAAGTCCCTTCCTGCCCAGAAGACATGCCAGTCCACATATTAATCCCCTAGTCCGATCCAGACAGTGAAATCCCTGAGTTCGCCCGTTCATGCCCCAGAGCCCAGCTTAGTGTTCGCAGCAAAGTTGGATCCAGTGACTAACTGAACCAGAATTAACATCTGCTCTGTCTCTAATGGCTCTAGCATTTATGTGTGTTTGGGCAGCGCACATGCCCGTAATCTTCTCCAAGAAAATTTGCACCATTAACTGGGGGTCTATACCCGGACAGCTGAGGTGGCTGTTCAAGAAAGTTAAGGCCAATGAATCTCCTGTTTTCCTGGTTCCCTCGTCACGGCCACGAAGCTTGATCAAATCTCCTGTTCTCCTAGTTCCTTTGTCACGGCCACGGAGGTCGTTCCTAACTCCTGTATTCCCTGTGTCCCTAGCTCCTTTTTCACAGCCATGAGGGCTTAATCTATAAATATGGGTGGCCCGCTACCGCCAGCACCGCCTTGGCCTCCAGTACTGCCTACTGTACCTTCTTTCCCTGGTTGGATTCTGTTACTGTAGGCATGGGGTCACACCTTCCAGGAGGGGGAGTACTGTCACGATCACCTGTCATCTCTGCACTAAATTTCGCAGCACCTTTCCTAGCTTCCACCTGCGAGCACTCAACACTCATCACCTCAGCCCTATATATGTCTGCACCATGCACTCGATGATTGTCTGGTCTGTGACTAGGACTACTCCTGTTACTCCCGTGATCTGTTCACATGCATACTCACCTTGTGGATTCTTCCTCATCTCTGAAGCAAACACTTCCTTGGTGTCCAGTACTGCCTGCTCCTCTATGGCGTCCTATCTTGTCTGCACCACCCAGGTGTCCTGCTTCCAACCAGTCATCTCATCCGCACCTGGGTGCCCACCCTCTGTCCCTGGTTGGATTCTGTTAGGCGTGAGGTCTGCACTACACACTCGGTGATTGTGTGGTCTATGACTAGGACTACTCCTGTTACTCTGATCACCTGGATTCTCACCTTGTGGATTCTTCCTCATCTCTGAAGCTTAGGTCTCCTTCTCCAGTCTCCAGTTCCCACTGTTCGCCTAATAAGACCTGCAAGAAAAATATATACCCCTCCCTACTGATTCCTCCTCCAGTCTCCAGCTCCCCTTGTGTTCTCCATGACCCTGTAAGATAAGACTGCCATTTATTATGTTTAAGCTACCGAGATCCATAAGTGCGTGTGTGGTGCTACTCACCTCCTTCCATGGACATTATTGCTCACCCTCGCTCTGTTGTTACCATATGCTCACCTTATGCTCTGATTTCCACAATAAATCATCCACTGTTGTTTCACCAAACAGAGTCTGTGTTTCCTGACACTAGTAGAACAGTTGCAGGATTAATGGAGCTAACAAAGTGTGTCTTTTATAACAAGTGGATATACTGTGATACTGGTTTGATCATATATTCACACATAGTCTGGTAAGAGTTTACAATAGTTTCCATTTGTTAACGTTAGTTAAAGGGTTAGTTCACCCAAAAATGAAAGTTAGCCTGTGTTTTACTCACCCTAGGGGCATCCTAGGTGTATGACTTTCCTCTTTCAGATGAGTCCAATCAGAGCTATATTAAAAATTATCCTGGCTATTCCAAGCGTTATCATTGCAGTGGGCGGGTGTTTCTCTTTAACAGTCCAAAACATGATAAATAGAGAGCGCACATCCATAACAAAACGTGACTCACACGGCTCCAGGGCATTAATAAAGGCCTCCTGTAGAGAATCCATGCGTTTTTTGTAAGAAAAATATCCATATTTCAAACGTAATAAACACTTTGCTCTCACTTCTGCTGACTGTAGTACGCGGAAGGCATTCTGGCGGATGACATAGCACGTATGCGCAGCGCGCGCGCCTCTGAGAAATGCTAGTCTCGCGAGTTTGTTCACAGGAGCAAAGGAAGAAAAGTTTCCTTACTTTAGCAAAGGAAACCAGTCTCCTCTTGGCTTATATCGAAATCCTCCGACATTTTTCTTTACAAATCCTCGGTTTGTACTTCTAATTCATGACCGGCATTTTGTTGTGTTCTCGCTCTGCGTTCGTCACTAATCACGCAACACCAACGTCCTACGTCATCCGCCGGAACGGCTTCCACGTACCACAGTTAGATGAAATGAGAGAGAAGTGTTTATTACGTTTGAAATATGGATATTTTTCTTACAAAAACACATGGATTCACTACAGGATGCCTTTTTTCACCCCCCGGAGCCGTGTGAGGAACGTTTTATTATGGATGCGCGCGCTTTATTTAACGTGTTTTGGACTGTTGAACAAAAACGCCCGCCCACTGCAATGATAGAGCTTAGAAGTGCCAGGACAATTTTTAATGTAACTCCGATTGGATTCGTCTGAAAGAAGAAAGTCATATACACCTAGGATGCTTCGAGGGTGAGTAAATAACAGGCTAATTTTCATTTTTGGGTGAACTAACCCTTTAATGCATTACCAACATGAAATAACAATGAGCAATACATTTGTTACAGTATTTATGAATGTTTTTTCAATGTTAAAAATGCATAGTTCATGCTAGCTCGATCCATTAACTACTGTTACCAGAAGCAACTATTAGTTTTAATAATGTATACTGTTTTAGAAGTATTGAAACTATGATAACTAATGTAGTTAACAAATGGAACCTTATTGTAAACTGTTACCTGTATGTTTATATGTGTGGTTAGTTAATGAGACACAATGTGACTGATGACCTTCTTTATAATAACTTGTGCAGTGCTTTAGTATAAAACAGTAAAACATTTTTAAACAGTTCAGAAACCATTGAGAATGATAAAGCACATCTGCATTCTTTTGAGCTGTTGGTCTTTGTCTGTGCTGCAGGTCTGTCCATAGACTACGACACGGAGCACCTGTACTGGATCAGCTCAGGAAACAGCACAATTAACCGCTGTAAGCTGGACGGATCAGGACTGGAGGTGTTAGACACGGTCAAAGGCAAACTGAACAAAGCCTCTGCGCTGGCTATAATGGGTAAATACAGCACTGATTTTTTAATTGGCTGTCTTTTTGAAGTACTAATGTTTTGACTGCTGTTGTGTAGGGGATAAGCTGTGGTGGGCGGATCAGGGCACGGATGAGATCGGCACCTGTGATAAGAGTGATGGAGGAGACTGGAAGGTCTTGAGAAACAGCACGTCTCCCATGATGCATATGAAGATCTACAATGAGACCGTGCAGACAGGTTAAAGAATCAACTGCATGCAGTGTCTAAGGAATTATTCAGCTGACAGACAAAATTTGCAAAAACATGCAAATTTTCAGGCTAGCTCCTTGTGCCTACATCGAGCCTCATTAGCATTGAAAAAAGGATTGTTTGGGCTGAAAATAATGACCTTGACTTCATTTAAAGTGATAGTTCACCCAAAAATGAAATTTGCTGAACATGTACGCACTTTCAAGCCATCCAAGATGTAGATGAATTTGTTTCTTCATCAGAACAGATTTCAAGAAAATTATCATTACATCTCTTACTCACCAGAGAATGCTCTGCAGTGAATGGGTGCAGTCAGAATGAGAGTCCAAACAGCTGATAAAAACATCACAATAATCCACTAGTAAACCACACGACTCCAGTCCATCAGTTAACATCTTGTGAAACAAAAAAGCTGCATGTTTGTATGAAACAAATGCATCATTAAAGTGTTTTAACTTTGGCTAAAATACGAGTCCATAATATTAACGCTTCCGCCAGTGAAAAACTTCACATCAAAATCCACCCACAAATTTGTTTAGATCTGTTTTGAACAGATTTGGTTTGTAAACAGTGCTTCATCTGTGCAGATGTCTCTCCTGATTCAGACCAGATACATTTTTCACTGGAGAAAGCAATATTATGGATTATGGACTCCAAAACAATGTCTTAAAAATGTTATAATGATGGATTTATTTTTTTTAAACACGCAGCGTTCCCCTTCACCAGATGCTAATTGATAGACTGGAGTGGTGTGGATCACTTGTGGATTACTGTGATGTTTTTATCAGCTGTTTGGACTCTCATTCTGACGGCACCCATTCACTGCAGAGCATCCATTGCTGAGACAGTGATGGAATGATACATTTCTCTCTTCATCTTGGATGGCCTGAGGCTTAGTACTTTTTCAGCATGCTTTCATTAACTACTCCTTAATTTAAATGTTTATGTCACATTACTTTACAGAGTTAGTGCAGATGACCTCTGGTTAAACTGAATTGTGGGTGGTTTGTTAGACAGTTTGTACTGAAATCCGTCCCCTAGCTAAACTTGAGTTTGCTGGCCTTGACTGTGTGTGTTGTATCATCAGGTTCAAACATGTGCAGTAACAACAATGGTGACTGCTCTCAGCTGTGTCTGCCCACGTCTCCCACCAGCCGCTCCTGCATGTGCACCGCAGGATACAGCCTGAGGACCGGACAGCAGTCCTGTGAGGGTACGAACACACACACACACACACACACACACACACACACACACATGACATTCAGACTTTCAATTATGTGTCACCTCCTTTTGGAAAAATGACATGGAGGTACAATAGACCACAGTGTTTGCATTTCCTTCAGAGAACAGCTGGAAACACCATACCAAACTTACAGAGGAGCAGAAAACAGCTCAATAATATCAGAAGTCAGTTCAACACTGTAGGTTTAACTAGATTTTCTGCAAATCTCAATTTATTAGTTAAAGATAATACAAAATGTTTTGTAGTCAACAACAAGTGACGTTGAAGACATATATAATGTTATAAAAGATTTTCATTTCAAATAAATGCTGTTCTTTTGAACTTTTCTTTTGAAAAGTATCACAGTTTACATAATATATGCAGCATCGTCTGTTTTCAGTATTGATAAATCAGCATATCAGAATGATTTCTGAAGATCATGTGACACTGAAGACTGGAGTAATGATGCTGAAAATTCAGCTTTGATCACAGGGATGAATTACATTTTAAAATACATTACAATTGAAAGAAGGTATTATAATATTGACATTATAACTGTTTTTACTGCAGCTTTGGTGAGCAGACCTTTAAAACTTTGAACGGCAATGTATATTAAGATTAGTTTTGGAGGGAAATGAATGAATGAATTAAGGCCTGTATTTGAAGAAACAGCCGGAAGCGTGGTGATTGTTGTGTTGATTTCAGGTGTGGGCTCTTTCCTGCTGTACTCTGTTCATGAGGGCATTAGAGGAATCCCACTGGACCCCGCTGACAAATCCGATGCCCTTGTACCGGTTTCAGGAACATCACTCGCCGTCGGGATTGATTTTCATGCCGGTGAGTCTCAACACTAATGATTCATAATCCCCATGTTTTCAGATGTACAATAGTGGTATAATATGTGACCCTGGAGAACAAAAGCAGTCTTAAGTCGCTGGGGTATATTTGTAGCAATAGCCAAAAATACATTGTATGGGTCAAAATTATAGATTTTTCTTTTATGCCAAAAATCATTAGGATATTAATTAAAGATCATGTTCCATGAAGATATTTTGTAAATTTCCCACCGTAAATATATTAAAACTTAATTTTTGATTAGTAATATGCATTGCTAAGAACTTCATTTGGACAACTTTAAAGATTTTTTTTGCACCCTCAGATTCCAGATTTTCAAATAGCTGTATCTCGGCCAAATATTATCCTATCCTAACAAACCATACATCAATGGAGAGCTTATTTATTCAGCTTTCAGATGATGTATAAATCTCAATTTTGAGAATTTGACCCTTATGACTGGTTTTGTGGTCCAGGGTCACATATGATCAGGTGTTAAATTGGGCTGGAAAAAGCAAAAAATTATGTTTGTCTGTCAGTAAATTATATGAATATGTTCCAGTCTGGTTTTTTGCTGTTGTAGTATATATTTTGGCTTCAAAAAGCACCCTGTCTCTTATATACATTGTGATGTAATTTACTTCATTTGTATCCTTGTATATTGTTTATAATTAATTCTCTTGCCTGTAGTTTTGCCTTTTAATGAATTTTTTATTATGTACTTTAATAATTACTGGAAGCATTTTTTGTTTTGTTTATGAATTTCTTGACTACATTCTGTTGCTTTAATTTTTTTTTGAGTGAGTTCAGTAGCATATATTGTGGCATTTTAGGATATTCAAAAAGGTATCATGAATTGTAAAAATATACTGGTTCCTGAAATCTACTGGGATTCTGATATTGGGAAAACTGTAGTGGCCTCAAAGGATGCTATGCAGCCAGATGATCTCATGCCATATCTGTTATTATATTGTGTCATTTAGCATTGCTGGAATAACATCCAGCAACTATCTAACAGCCATGAGTTATTTTTAGGTTCTGGTGTCAATATACAATGTATCCAGAACTGTAAAATTCATATTTTCCCCAGTAACTGTCTTTAATTTTTTTTAATAATTCATATGCGTGTTCTTTCTGTTGTCATGTAGATAATGACACCATCTATTGGGTTGACATGGGTTTGAGCACCATCAGCAGAGCTAAGAGAGATCAGACGTGGAGAGAGGACATCATCACTAACGGCATCGGCCGTGTGGAGGGCATCGCTGTCGACTGGATCGCCGGTGAGTCTCAAGCACAGACACTTTCAGGTGCGTTTAGAGCTTTATTACAATACTGATGAGCAAAACCTTGCCTTGTTCCTCTGTGTGCTGTAGGAAACATCTACTGGACGGACCAGGGCTTTGATGTGATTGAGGTTGCCAGATTGAATGGCTCGTTTCGATATGTGGTCATCTCCCGAGGACTGGACAAACCTCGGGCCATTGCTGTACATCCTGAGAAAGGGTGAGATCTGAGTAACTTCCTGTCTTTTATTGTGCGTTTCTGCGGCATGAATGAAGCGGCGATCTCCTCATGGCTGGTTGTGTGTGCAGGTATCTGTTCTGGACGGAGTGGGGACAGTATCCACGCATAGAAAGATCTCGTCTGGATGGATCTAACAGAGCCGTGCTGGTGAACGTCAGTATTAGCTGGCCCAACGGCATCTCCATTGACTATCAGGTGCGTAGGGCACATTTATGTCAACCCTGTGTCAGTTTAATACTTTTAAACTCTAGTAAGCACTAGGGGTGTAATCATTCACTCGTTTACTTGATCATCAAAATTGAATTGAACTGAATATCATTATGAATTGGACCTAATCAAACGTTCTGAATTTGCATTCCTAAACCAAATTGAAAATGAATCATGTTCGATTATTCATTTATTTATACTGTTTTTCTCACTTTGTCCACCTTTTCCATCCGCCGCAGTGGTAAATACAAACCAGTTACATGTGAAACTCGTTCAAGAAATCACCACCAGGTGCCGCAAAGGGACAGTTGGCACCAGTGCTCAATAAAGCTGAACACTGTGACATTTTCACTTGTAAATGAAGATGAAAAATAATAAACCTAGATAATAACGTTTGACAAGGCAAACTCTGATGTTGGCTTGAAAAGAGCCTGTTCAGAAAGTTAGAAGTAGATTTAATATCTGGAAGTCTGAAGATTTTATGTTTGAAGCAGTTTTAAAAGCTTGAAGTTTGAGGGTTTTAAGACCATATGAGACAGCAAGATAGATAGATAGATAGTTGTTGATAGTTTTAGCATGTTTCTTGCATGATTTAGGACATTGCTAGCATGTGTTAGCATGTTGCTAGCAGTTTCTATCATGAATTAACACAATGCTAACATGTTTTAGCATGATTCTAGCATGATTTAGCACATTGCTAGCATGTGTTAGCATGTTGCTAGCAAGTTTCTATCATGAATTAACACAATGCTAACATGTTTTAGCATGATTCTAGCATGATTTAGCACATTGCTAGCATGTGTTAGCATGTTGCTAGCAAGTTTCTATCATGAATTAACACAATGCTAACATGTTTTAGCATGATTTAGCATATTGCTAACATGTTTTCTACTGCTTACTAGAGTTTGGAGAAAAATGTGCATATTACATGAAGATGTGTACTAGTAACTTCAAGCAAATTTCTCTTATTAACTGACGACTCAATATAGATGCATACTAAACAAAAACACAGACTAAATTTGTGGTCATGGTCTGTGTGTCCTGTAGGAGGGTTGGCTGTACTGGTGTGACGCGCGCACGGATAAGATTGAGCGCATTAAGCTGGAGACGGGCGAGAACAGAGAGGTGGTGCTTTCCAGCAACAACATGGACATGTTCTCCGTATCTGTGTTTGAGAGCTACATATACTGGAGCGACCGGTCAGTGCAAGCTTGTACACGTGAAACTATTCATTCCTCATCACCAACATGATGTTTAGTCTACAGCATTGTTTAATACAACTTTATTTCATTTGCTATCCCTATTTAAAAGCCTTTGAACTTTGTTCAACCAGATGATGTTAAAGCTGAAGTGTCCAATTTCTATATGTTAAAAGTATTACATAGAACTATACATATGTAAATTGGACATCCCAAGTATTATTTTATTTATTAAAAATAAAAAAAATAATTTAAAAAACCATGTTATTTCTTTAGGACTCATGCGAATGGTTCAATAAAGCGTGGCAGTAAAGATAATGCAACCGATTCAGTAAGTCTGAGGACAGGCATCGGCGTCCAACTCAAAGACATCAAGGTCTTCAACAGAGCGCGACAACAAGGTGAGTCTTAAATGACTTTGTTCTTGCAAGAATGTGCTAAAAAAACAACCTCTAATACAACATAAATTATGCAGAGACATGTTTATATTTACCTTTTTTTTGTATAGGTTATTTATATATATATATATATATACATAAAAGTTATAAAAGTTAATTTAAAAATGTAACCAAAATTTAACCCAACAGTTGGGTTAGTCCATATTTGACCCAAAATTGGGTTGAAACAACCTAGCATTTTTAGAGTGTATATATGTGTGTGTGTGTGTGTGTGTGTGTGAGTGAGTGTGTGTGTGTGTAGGCTATATGTATGTATTTATTTTGAGTAACTGAATAATATAATACATAAATCTTAAACTCATTGTACTTTAGCTACTTGCCAAGGCAATCATTTTAATTTTGTTTAACTTGATGTACTAAAATTAATACTTATATAAAAAATGTATATAAATATCTAGTAAAATATTATTAAAATTTTAACCAAATTTAAAATGGAAAATACAAAAATAAAAACTAATTCAAAATTTATAACTAAAAATAAATATATAAAAACATCTTAATCTCAATCAAAAATTCTCAAAGATACTAAAATAGCACTGGTTTGTTTTATTTTTAAAATGGCACTGGTAATGTTTTATTGTTACTGTACTTCTCTGCTTCACTACTTAATAGTATTTTAAAAACTTTATAATAATATAATTTTAACATATACTGTATATAATATATTATTATTATATGAATATATAATAATAACAAAATTTAAACTATTTATATTCAGATTTTATTTTTCTCCTTTTCTTTACCGTTCAAAACAACAGTTTTAAATAAAATAGTCAACATGTTGATATTTTCTTGATTGATTAACTGAGTCACAAACTTTGCATATTGCTTTCGTGCTAATGCCAACAGCATTGAATCTATGAACTCGATTCAGATTTGTCTTGGTTGCAGTATTTCTTAAATCTTTTCAACCAATCTCTCTGCAGGAACTAATATCTGCAAGAACAACAACGGCGGCTGCCAGCAGCTGTGTCTTTACCGTGGTAACGGACAGCGAACGTGTGCATGCGCTCACGGAATGTTAGCCGAGGACGGTCAGAGTTGCCGTGACTACGACGGATACCTGCTGTATTCAGAACGCACGATACTAAAGAGTGTGCACTTATCAGACGGATACAACCTCAACGCTCCCATCAAACCGTTTGAAGATCCCGACCACATGAAGAACGTCATCGCGCTAACGTTCGATTACCGCGGAGGCGGTGGAAAAGGAGCCAATCGGATCTTCTACAGCGACATCCACTTTGGAAATATTCAGCAGATCAATGACGACGGGTCAGACCGGAAGACCGTGGTCGAGAGTGAGTTTCAAATAATGATGTCTTTCTACCTTAATTCTCTATTATTTTCTCTAACCCTTTTTTTTTGTTTTTTCTCGGCTAGATGTAGACTTGATGTACTAAAATAACTGAAACTAAAACTGACATAAAATTAATAAATACAATATAGACAAATAATAAAAAAAGACAAAAACACACAACAGAATTCTTAGAATTTTAACCAAAATAAAAATGATAACGGAAAATATCAATTAATTCAAAATATCCCTGGTAAAAAAATACTATATTTACAATAGATGATTTTCATAAGTTCAAATGAAATAGTTCAAGTCTGTTAACACATATACTGTTAATATGTGTATTCTATAGTCTTACTGTATGAAATGTAAGATGATGTACAGGTCTGGGGGCGGGGCAGTGCGTTAACTGCGTTAAAATATTTTAATCACGTTATTTTTTCGTGTAATATATTTTATTAGCTAATTAATTAAAGGGGTCATATGATGTTGCTGAAAAGAACATTATGTTGTGTATTTGGTGTAATGAAATGTGTTTATGCGGTTTAAGGTTAAAAAAACACATTATTTTTAGGCATGTGGGGGCGTGTTTAAACGGGGCGTTTTAGGAGGGTGTGGACAAGTCTTAACTTTCATAAAGAATATCTCTTTGGTTTTGAGACTTTAGTCTTTGCAACTTTAGGGATCTTATCTATTCACAAACAGCTTGTAACACTCCAAAGAGAAAAGAAAATTTGAAATTGCATCATATGACCCCTTTAAGTAAATGCGTTAAACTGACAGCCCTATTATATACATAATATTAATTTAAAACTTTTGTAGTATCTTAATAGGAATTAAAATGTAGCATTTTATGCAAACTGTTTGTGGTACAGACATCAACGATATCTCAGATTGTTGAAAAAAAAAGCTGGTAGAGTCTGTCATAGAGTTTATGTATAGTTATTTTGCAGTCCCCAAAACAAGTCCATGTGTTTGAATATGGAGTAGTGTTTTGTAGAGGTTTGATTGCAGCACCAACTCTCCATCACCAGCTCACAGCTGGAGAGAAAACAGTGCAAAGCCAGCGGGCACACAATCAAACCGGACTGGGAAGTCTGAAGTCACGGCCAGTTCCTTTGTGAGAGCACAATAAACTCATTCTTTCATAATACATTTGGCTCTCACAGCAGGAGAACTGAGCAAAGAAAGATGTGCATATCTGTTTATTCTTCTGTTGCCACAAACAGCATATGAATGAAGGATAATTATGATAATTGCAAACTCTCGACCAAAATGCCTCCTGAGAGAATGTTGGCTTCCTTGTGCTGAAGTGAAAAAGTTGGTCTGTCTGAAACAACAATAAAAACCAGATTCGCTATACATCCTTTCGTTTTATTTACTCTTATTTTAGGCAGACATAATGTGGTTTTGAACAATAGTGTTTGGTTTTTATAGATTTTATAGATACTGCCCTGTACAAATATACTGTATTATCCATTTGTTTTTACTTTTAAGTAGCAAATTTATACATTCAATTAATAGTTTGTTTAGATATAACGTATGGAAGACCCCGAAATGTAGTCATGTAGTATTTATTTACTAGTTAATCCAGCAAATTTATAAGACAAATGATCTACTTGCCAACATATTTTTTCTGTAAAGGTGGACTTTTTGTTTTTTTGCAGTAAAGTTCTTTCCATCATTTACAATATGTATTCTTTTTGGCTTTTTTATATGTTAAATGCTTTTTTGTCTTCTTACCATGTGGTTTTTATTACACTGCTTATGAACCGGTTATGTAATTCAAGCCAGGCGTAAATCTAGCGATTTAAAAAAACAAAACATTTCAGTTCTTACATCCTACACATCTGTCTTTGAACCGTCATCAGTAATGAATGAACAAACAAACAATGAATCATTTGCTTTCATTCCCCCCCACCCCCCGAGTTTTTCAGGGTTGTTTTGGCCAGATATAATTGACTCATGACTAACACGCGTATTTGGATATTGCATGTAAACATGGTGCAAAATAGCTGATTTATTTTAAAAACAGCTGATTTATTTATTACAGTTTTAGTGTTTGGCATTTTATTTTTCTTCATCATAGTTGCACTCTGTTTTTGTTATTTTTATTTGTTAAAGGGATAGTTCACCCCCAAATTAAATCTGTCACCATATACTCTCCCCAACGTTGTTTTAACCCCGTTTGACTGACTTTCTTCTGTGAAACATGAAAATAGAAATTCTGAAGAATGTCCATGCTGCTCTTTTGCTTACAGTGAAAGAAGGTGACAGCTGATTCACCAAAACTGACACAAATATTGCCTTAATTAGTGCATTAAAATCAAGTCATAGTCCATATGATTTATTATGCTTTTTTCTACTTTGTGCATCACCAAGACACATGAGAACCAATGATATTTGAGATTAATCAGATGTATATGCAGCACTGATATTACAACTTGCTAGACTGAATGTGAAGTCACATTGTGAATGTGCTATTCTTGTAACAACACATTAAACACATGCAATAAATAACTAAAGCATAAAGAATTGACAGTATTGTTTGCACACATACTGTAGTAGTATTTGTATTTCAGGAGAGCAGGTTTCCACAACAAAAGCAGTTTTCATGGTTTTTGTTGATATGCCTACATGTTTAAATTATATAAACATTATCTAAAATATGTGAATATTTAGTTTAATTTTGCAGTTTTCCGTCAACATAAATGCTGTTGACTAATATTTAGTGCTGTTTGAGACAGAGTAAAACTGACTAAAATTAATAAGAAATATTAATTCAATTTAAAGGATATTTCCTTCAAACGTTTAAAACAGTAAGAAATTTATAATGGTACATCTTTTGATTTTATTTTATAATCTTTAGTGTAAATGGAAGAAAGAAAAACAAAACACTTTGTTAACAGCCAGATAAAATTTAAAATATCCAAAATTTAATTATATTAGAATTCTAGGAAAACTTTATTTTAGCTAAGGCTTTCTAATAAACAAAATAAAGTTTTCCTAGAATTCTAATATAATTAAATTTAGGATTTTTTTTTTAATGTCTCTCTCTCTCTCACTCTAAAATGTGTAAATATATGTTTCCAAAGTCAAGTTAAATAATCACAATCTCAATATTGACCAAGCAGACCAACCAAGCAGCTCAACGGCCTGTGACAAATTCCATGAAAATTTTGTCTAGAATTTCTAAAATCTTTTTTTTTTAAACCATGTTTTCCACATATGTTTCTGTCTGCAGATGTTGGGTCAGTGGAGGGGTTGGCGTATCATCGGGCCTGGGACACTTTATTCTGGACCAGTTACACCACATCCACCATCACCCGTCACAGTGTGGACCAGAGCCGCTGGGGGGCTTTCGACCGGGACTCTGTGGTCACCATGTCAGGAGACGACCACCCACGGGCGTTCGTCCTGGATGAATGTCAGAAGTGAGCTTTTCATTTCACAACAAACTCATTATTTCAACATTCAAAACAAAAAAAGTGTAATATTCACCATTCACTAACTGTTCCCTTTTGGAAGGGATGTCATGTTGATTTCAGTACTGATATCATATCACACTCAATGTTTGCCATTGACTCACATTCCTCTGCTTTTCCCCAGCTTGATGTTTTGGACCAACTGGAATGAGCAGTCGCCCAGTATCATGCGCGCCCAGCTGTCCGGAGCCAATGTCCTGGTGATCATCGGCAGTGACATCCGCACTCCCAATGGACTCGCCATCGACCATCGTGCCGAGAAGCTCTATTTCTCAGATGCTACGCTTGATAAGATTGAGCGCTGCGAGTATGACGGCTCCCACCGTTATGTAAGTCAGAACTTGCACCCATGAGTGTCCGTTTTGCTTAACTTGCACCGTGACTACAACAAGTCAAATCCCAGTGCGTCCAGACCAGCCGCAATCATGAGGTGCAGTTAGACATTTCATTGCATTTTAATAGCTTAGTGAAATCTCACTAGTCCAAAAACATAGCTGTACAGCAATAATTATAATAATAATAATAATCATTTTCAGTAAATAAACATCACACATATTCTGATTGGCAGGGCCCTAAATAGGTGTTTTCCCCAACTACTGCATAATTCCAGCCAAAAAGTTCAGAAGTAGTTCATTTATTCTCAAATGGAAAAATCAAAATGGTAGAGAACTTTTTAAATTTTAACATTTCAACAAACCAAATGGTTCCTTTCTGTCTGTTTTGGCGTCTGTAGGTGGTTTTGAAGAATGAGCCAGTGCATCCTTTCGGTTTGGCTGTGTACGGTGACCACATCTTCTGGACAGACTGGGTGCGCAGAGCCGTCCTCAGAGCCGACAAATATGTTGGTGGAGACATGAAGGTGTTAAGAGCTGATATTCCACAACAGCCAATGGGGATCGTCGCTGTGGCCAATGATACAAATAGCTGTGAGTGAATGGCCGTAATGGCAGCATGGTCAAGAGTACTGTAAATCAACTGTGTGAGAGAGTGATTGCCTTACAGTGTCCTGTCATCTCAACCATGTAATTATGTGCCAAAAGTAATCTGTGATTGCCACAGAACCGAGAAGAACTCTATAACGCTTGGGAATGACACAATCAATATCTTTCATCATGCTTATCTAAGTGTGATAGAAGCAATTCTCAAGCACTCAAACCCCCAAAGACAGCATCTCTGCCTGCTCTGAAGCCCCCGTTTACTGTCCTCCCAACTAAAACATTAACCCAAACAAAACCCAACAAATAGCCAATAGCAGCTAGATTTGAAGAAACTAAACTTTTTTTTTTTTTTTTTTTTTTACAATTAAATACCCTGTTTTACTTGGAAATCTGAAGTAAAAGTAAAACCTTTTATCCTCAAATGATCATATCCTGGAACTAAAACTGGATTTGTCTCAGTCTTTTGAAATAAAAATGTGACTTCCTGTGTTGACCATCTATCTATCTATCTATCTATCTATCTGTCTATCTGTCTGTCTGTCTGTCTGTCTGTCTGTCTATACTGTATTTAGAATGCATTAAGTGACAATAAAGACATTTACAGTGTTGCAAAAGATTTATATTCATCAAAGAATCCTGAAAAACAAAATTGATCACAAACTAGTTTTTATAGTTTATATTTAATTCTAGTAGTTTAGTTTGTTAATTTGGGAATTAATCTATTATGAATTATGTGTTTAATAACTAAATTATTTTAACGTAGAGCCCTGAATTAAGCTCCCCAGTTCACAATCTATTTACTGTAATGCATAAAAAATAGAACACTTATATACATTTTAAAACGAATTAAATGCATGGTACAATTGTTCTGTCATTTATGTTGATTTAAATAAAATGAATTACAGCAAAATGTAATAATACATATCTTTTTGGTGAAATATAACAAGACCTTTTTTTGACCTTGTAGATAGAGTTCTGCAGCTTGGCTATGTAGTAACTTTCATCTGCACACCACTGTGAGAACTACTGTTTGAGTGTTTACATCTGTGTGCTGTGAATTGGAAATAATTGTCTGTAAATATGTGTGCAAGTGGGTAGTGAATGTTAAGTGGGTTATTTGTATCTGTTTGTGTTTCATGAAGGGCTGCATAACGAGTACACATAATGCTCCTTGTGACTTCTCAATGTCAAGAGCTTCCGGGGATGCTAAATTCCTGTGTGTGTGTGTGTGTGCGCGCAGGTGAGTTCTCGCCCTGTCGGGTGAATAATGGAGGCTGTCAGGATCTGTGTCTGCTCACATCAGACGGACGGGTCAACTGTAGCTGCCGCGGAGAGAGGAAACTGCTGGAGGACAACACCTGCATAGGTGAGACACCACCAACCAATCACAGACTTCATACAATATATATCTGCATATGCAAGTATTTTCGTTAAAATACAGTGTTCACAGTTAACTGATCGTATGGAGATGAACAGAGTCTCAAAGCAGCTTTAAACAGAGGCAGGTTTGAATGTTCCTGCTCAAAAGCACAGTGACAATAGCGAGTAAATTACATCACTAGCTGGGTTTCCATCCAAAGTTGCGAATTTAACTTGTGCGCAAAGCTGGAATATCGCATAAAACATTTGTGAACAAGCATCGTTTCCATCCAACAGGTCAAAGAGAACAAAATCGTCACTCTCTGATAAACTGGCAATATAAATCACTAAGAAAAGTAGGAGAATATAATAATTTTCATATATAATAATAAATGACTTGCGCCTCAGAGCGAGCAGACGAAACACAATGCATGCGGTCACTGCTTTTGGAGGTGGATGCTGCTGTTTGGGAACGCAGTCGTGTAAGACATTTCTGGGAGGCAATTATACAGAAATACTTTGATGAAAGACTTTGCTCTTGCATTTCCGAATGACCATAACAACATTTCAGATGCTGTGGAGTGAGATCGGTCCGCTGGTTAGTCGGGATTTGCCGTCCCATAGCGCAAAGTCACATGACTTTTTTGATGCGCTTGGAGGAATTTATTCGCAAAATGCATTTCCATCTCCCATTATTCACATCAACCCTTTTTCGCACAAGTCAAAAACCACCTCAAGCGAGCGTAAAAACTTTTTGCGAATTAAGGGATTTTTATTCGAAATTTGGCATTTCCATCACTCGTTTCTCATGCGATACTTCAAAATGCGCATTAAAATAGATATAATATTGGAAATATAGCTACTGATATGAACCAAGACTGAAAATCTCATTCATCTCTGGGTGATCTGGTGGAATAAACACTCTTATTACTTTTGCTACCTTAAAGGGATAGTTTACAAAATGGAAATTGTCATATTTGAATTGTCGTGTTGCAAAAACTAGGGCTGCTTCAGACTAAAGATTTTTCTAGTCGACCCTTGACAGTTTTGAATCATGGTGTATTACTCTGTAACAGCAAAAATGACAGTGTATTTTAAGTTGTTTTCTCTGTTATCAGGAAGAAAATGCCTCCATGTCACGCAGTAGTGCACTGATAGCTTGGATATGCGCCTAATAGCACACATTTATCCAGGCTGATGTTAGAGCAGACGGCCGTGTAAAGTTGCTACTACTTGCGTGTTTCAACAGTAAGCTATATTTGAGGTCAATGAATGATTTCCTGCCTGATATACTGTAATTACCTCAAGGACCAGCTGTTAACCATCTGTCCATCATGGACACGAACAGGTTTTTTCTGCGACTAACCAATATAATTTTAGTCGAAGCAGCCCCAGTTAAAAGTTTTGTTCATCTTTGAAACACAAATGAAGGTACTTTTACTTATCATTTTCAGTTTGGTCTTTTATTCACACTGATTGACGTGCAGACAAAGGGCACACAGAAGCTCGGACGTGTTTGCTCTTTCTTACCGATTGTTGAAAACCCTTCGCCGCCACTCAGAAAAATATGTCTGCATTTAATTGTGTTGATATCCTAAAGCTGCTACTAATCTAAAACAATATATCAGTGGACCAGGGTAAACACTGTCTTTGGACAAAATATCACTACATGGCTGTACATGAGGAGGTTGTGATCAACATGCTACAAGCAGGAATATATAGTGGCTTGCACTACAGTATGTTAATAGCTGCTATCTTGTGTCTCTCAGCTCAGAACACGTCGTGCAGCAGTATGGATGACTTTGAGTGTGGGAATGGAGACTGCATCAAATACACGCTCACCTGTGATGGCATGGCCCACTGCAAAGACAAGTCAGATGAGAAGCAGTCCTACTGCAGTGAGTGTGTGTGAGATATTCTGAATGTTCACGGCGGTTCTGAAGGCCTGCCACTCTTATCAGTTTGTGTTTGTGTCCAGCTAACCGCGTGTGTAAGAAGGGCTATAAGCGCTGTGTGAATGGACGCTGTGTCGGCCACAGTTCCTGGTGTAACGGGCGAGATGATTGTGGGGATAACTCCGATGAACTCTTCTGTAATGGTAAGTCCATCTGTTCATACACATTATATTAGGCTGCAGCCTAATCTTCAAATCCAGCCTGTAGGCCCCTTTGAATTCTATAGATTTCAAACGTTCTGATGTTGTACAGTTTGGTTCCCCCTCGAGGGAACTCACACTGCGTCGGTAACGACACTTTGGGGAACCCACTCAGCGTAGCGCGTCTGAAGCATGAATGAAACTATTCCAATCCTGACTGGTGTTGTGTCATGTCGTAACATGTGACGGCATAGTCGGAAGCTACAAAGGGACGCCGGCACACAACAGAGTCAGCTTTTTGCTCTTCAGCAAGCGCTCTGTGTCATTGTGTGTCTTATTTGGTGTTGTTTGTCACAAGCATATATATTATCATGGCGAGTGGACAGTTTTAGCGGTGTGTTCATCCCTGCCCGAGGTTTTTAACGGGTGGGGACACACATCAGCTGTGTGTTTATTGTTTGGAAGCGCAGCACACACGGGCAGCTCTCGAGGGAGCTGCCTGTGCGGACTGTGAAGCACTGCCGATCAGAGGGCTGCGCTCCCGCCTGGCTGTATTTGATGAGGCCGGCCAGGCTCGCGCACCTTGCGGTTCGGGTTGGCGACTCGGCGGCTTAGATCGTGGGGCTCGCAGATGGATTTGTCAGGAGGGCTCGAGACTGCTGTGGCACATTCTCAGTCCTTGTCTGACACTTCCGATGTTCTCACTCCCCGTGCGGAAGCCCGCGCCGCGGCTTCTTCCACACGGGAGGAGAACCCGATGTCTGAGCTGTCTGATTCTGAGGAAATAGACATGCTCAGCATCGAGGCGGGTGAAATTGCAGAGAGCTCGCCACTGCATTCACATGCACATGAGGAGCTGGTCGATGTGTTGACTCGTGCTGTGGCCAAACTAAATATTAACTGGCCTCAAGAAAGGCAGGAAGTGCAAGTGACAAGTAAATTGGATGAGCACTTCCTGCAGCACAGGTCTCAGCCTCAATGCCGGGGTTTACCATTTTTTCCTGACTTACACAATGAGTTGTGTAAGTCATGGAATAAACCGTACTCCGCACGACTGTCTAACCCTCCTGTGTTAAATTTTAGTAACATCTTAGGAGCATGTGAGTACGGTTATGGGACGATGCCTCGGGTGGAAGAGGCTTTAGCCAGCTACCTCTCCCCTGATGTTGCGTCGTCCCTTAAAGGACGCCTCCTTTAAGTGCTGCCCACCAAACCTTGTCATGTTACATCACCTTTGGTGGGCAGGGCTTATATGGCGGCTGGTCGTGCTGGTGCATGCCTGCATACAATAGTGCTTATGCAGGCATACCAGGCTGATTTTTTAAAGGATTTAGATGAGGGCGAGAGACCAACACAAGGTGATTTAGCGGAGCTGCATAGAGCCGCAGATTTGTCTCTCCGTGTTACCAAGGAGACGGCCCGTGCCATCGGCCGCTCCATGGCAGCTATGGTGGCCACAGAGAGACATTTGTGGCTAAACTTATTGGGGATGAAGGAAAAGGACAGGGCCTTTCTCCTAAATGCCCCGATATTGCCTTCTGGCCTGTTCGGCGACGCAGTCAATATGGTTGTCGACAGGTTTCAGGAGGCGAAAAAGCAGTCTGCGGCTTTTAAGCAGTATCTCCCTCGCCGCTCTAAATCTAAGAAGGCTGCTCCAAGTGGATGGGCCCAGCCGTCATCAAGCTCCTCGTACCGGCAGGTACAAAATGAGAGTGTCGCTTCTAGAGCCCTTGGCGACAGAGGCGACGCTCTCGCCCAAAGCCCGCCGAGCCAAAGGTCGATTTGAGGACCGTCCTTCAGGCAAGAAAGGCTACGGGAAAATGGTCCTAGCTTTCGCAGGGCTTCTGAGGGTTGCCCCCCCCCCCTGGGCTGGAGCGATCAAGGTCGTTTCCACCTCGGAACCCTCAGGAAATCGATGTTGGAATCCCACCGTTCAGTACGCTTCGGGCTACATCGATTTCCGGCGAACGCATGCTGCAGTGTCCGCCCCGAGGGCTTGCGGCCTGGCAGCGACAGCGTCCGCAAATAGAAAATCTTTTTCGATCGTTTCCTGCCGGTGTTCCGCTTCAGGGGATCGTAAACGAAACTCGAAGAACACCCGAGGTCAGCCTCGAGAGGCTGATTCCCTTAGTAGATTATATCAGTGCATGGCAATGCCTTCCGAATATATCTCCATGGGTCCGTAAAGTAGAAAGAGGGTACAGGCTGCAGTTCAGTTACCGCCCCCCGAAGTTCAATGGGGTGGTCTGGACTGTGGTGCACCCCGAGCAGGGTCGGGTGATGGAACAGGAAGTTGACTCCACAGGGAGTCCGGGTTCTACAGCCGGTATTTCATAGTTCCCAAGAAGGATGGGGGGTTGCGTCCAATTTTAGATCTGCGGCACTTGAATCGTTCTCTGAGGAGATTCAGGTTCAAGATGCTCACTATTCCCACCATCGTGAGTCAAATCAGATACGAGGACTGGTTTGTCACGATAGATCTAAAGGACGCATACTTCCATGTTTCTATCATTCCTTCTCACAGGAAGTTCCTGAGGTTCGCTTTCGGGGGCAAAGCGTTCCAATATCGGGTTCTTCCGTTTGGCCTAGCTCTCTCCCCTCGCACTTTCACCAAGTGCATGGATGCAGCTCTAGCGCCACTGAGGCTTCAGGGCATCCATGTGCTGAATTATATCGACGACTGGCTTACACTGGCCCAGTCTCGAGAGATGGCGGTTCGGCATCGAGATGTCGTCCTTGGACGCATTCAGAGCTTGGGGTTGAGACTCAACACGAAAAAGAGCGTGTTGTCGCCCACAAAGAGAACCACGTTCCTGGGGGTGGTATGGAACTCGGCAATGATGCGGGCACAATTGTCTCCCGCTCATATCGAGTCCATCCTGGCGATGGTTTCCAGGATAGGGCTAGGCCACGCTATCACTGTAAAGCAGTTCCAAAGACTGCTGGGGCTCATGGCAGCAGCGTCCAACGTAATACCTTTTGGCCTTCTGTACATGAGACCCCTACAGTGGTGGTTGAAAACCAAGGGGTTTTCCTCGAGAGGAAATCCGTTCCGTATGATCAGGGTCACGCACCGATGCCTTTGTGCCCTGTCCATATGGAGGAAACCTTGGTTTGTGTCCCAAGGCCCAGTATTGGGAGTGTCATGTCGCCGAAAGGTAGTTTCGATAGACTCATCCCTTACGGGTTGGGGCGCGGTCATGGACGGCCGCTTTGCGAGAGGTCTGTGGCAGGGCCAGCATTCCTCATGGCACATAAATTGCCTAGAAATGCTAGTGATTTACAAGGCTCTTGAGGAGCTTTCTCCCAAATCTCAGTGGTCACCATGTCCTAATACGAGCAGACAATATGTCAGTGGTCTCGTATTTTAATCATCAGGGGGTCTGAGCCCTCTGTGCAGACTGACGCATCAGATCCTCCTGTGGTCCAAGGGGAAACTGTTGTCTCTCAGAGCGATGTATGTCCCTGGGGACCAGAATCAGGGAGCAGACGTCCTGTCAAGGCAGGGGTTGAGGCCCGGGGAATGGAGACTTCACCCCGAGGTGGTGAAGTCGATATGCGAGAGGTTCGGCCCAGTGGAAGTGGACTTGTTCGCATCTTGAGAGACGACCCACTGTCCACTGTGGTTTTCTCTAACGCATCCAGCCCCGCTGGGGTTGGACGCCATGGTACAGACATGGCCGAGGCTACGCCTGTACACTTTTCCCCAGATCGCTCTGCTCCCAGGAGTTCTGGAGAGGGTCCGGAAAGAAGGGGTCAGTCTATTGCTGGTAGCCCCGTTCTGGCCGGCCCGGGTGTGGTTCTCAGATATCATGTCCCTCCTGGCAGGCCAGCCATGGCAGATCCCTCTGAGGAGGGACCTGCTGTCTCAGGCAGGGGGCGAGATATTTCACCCTCGGCCAGAGCTGTGGAAACTGTGGGTCTGGCCCCTGAGGGGGCTCAGTACCTAGAGGCTGGCTTGTTGGCTGGACTGATCGAGACCATACTCGGTTCCAGGGCTCCCTCCACGAGGAGATTGTACAACCTAAAGTGGAATGTGTTTTCCACATGGTGTAGAGAGCGTGGGTTGGACCCAGTTAACTGCCCAGTGCTGGAGTTCCTCCAAGATCGCTTCTCTGCTGGTCTTACCCCGTCCACACTAAAGGTGTACGTGGCTGCCATTGCGGCTTTCCACGCTCCTTTAGGTGTTGGGCCTCTGGGGAGGCACCAGCTGGTCGTGCGTTTCCTCCGTGGTGCATGGAGGATGAGGCCTGCGACTCGTTCCAGAGTCCCAACTTGGGATCTGGCTGTGGTTCTTGAAGGGCTGTCACTTGCCCCCTTCGAGCCTCTCGAGTCGGCTATGGCAAAGAACCTGACCTTTAAGATGGTCTTTCTCCTAGCAATTACTTCGCTCAAGGGAGTGGGGGATCTCCAGGCCTTGGCTATCTCGCCGACTTGCCTGGAATTTGCCCCTGGAGGAGTTAAGTCCATTTTACACCCTAGGCCTGGCTATGTGCCCAAGGTGCCATCTAATATGGCACGGCCCGTGGTTCTTCCGGCCTTCCATCCTCCGCCTCATGTGTCGGCGGAAGAAGATAGGCTTCATCTGCTCTGCCCTGTCAGAGCATTGAACATCTTTATTCAGAAGTCCTCTCATTGGAGGAGGTCAGAACAGTTGTTGGTGTGCTTTGGATCACCCAAGAAGGGACTTCCTGCTTCCAAGCAGACAATTAGTAATTGGATTGTTCAGGCTATTGCCTTGGCCTATCAGGTGCATGGTTTGCCTTCACCTGTTGCCTTGAGGGCCCACTCTACTAGAGACATGGCGTCCTCTAGGGCCCTCCTGTCAGGAGTCCCGTTTCAGGAGATCTGCGATGCGGCTGGGTGGTCCACCCCGCATACTTTCATCAGGTTTTATAGCCTGAACCTTCCCTCCACGCCGGGTGCACGAGTGCTCTCGTCCTAAGTTGTGCCTGGTTCAGCTTCACACTAGGACAGGCATGTTTTGGTGTGGCATAGTGGGTATCTGTTCCCCAAAGTGTCGTTACCGATGCAGAGTGAGTTCCCTCGAGGGGGAACGTCTCAGGTTACGACTGCCTTGTTCCCTGAGAAAGGGAACGAGACACTGCGTCTCTTTGCCACACCTCTCCATGCCTGGGAGCGGCTTGCTTCATCGCCAAAGCTGACTCTGTTGTGTGCCGGCGTCCCTTTGTAGCTTCCGACTATGGGATTGGAATCAGGATTGGAATAGTTTCATTCATGCTTCAGACGCGCTACGCTGAGGGGGTTCCCCAAAGTGTCATTACCGACGCAGTGTCTCGTTCCCTTTCTCGGGGAACAAGGGTTACATTCGTAACCCAAGACGTTTTCCCCTTCCTGCTCTGTTACAGCGGGTGCTGGTGTTATTGCCTTTTGAATTCGAAAGCGCTTTGGTTCAACTGATGTTGATGTTAAGCCTACTAAAAACATAAAATGAAACATGAAAAGTCAATACTTTATGGGTGAACCATTATATTTTCCCTCAAAATCAAAGCTAAATTAGAAACTATAATGATTCTGAACATTTGGTCGGTTTCATTGTCAAGTGGCTGGTATGGCTGCATGGCTATAGAATATTGTTTGACTAATCTGATGCAGATGAAATGTTTTGCATCAGCTGAATTTATGAGAAACATACAGTATTTGTAATTTTTAGGTTGAAAGAAAGAAAGAAAAATGAATGAATTAACTAACTAATTAAGTAATTAATAATAATAAAAAAACATAGTAAATGTTCAGTAATCATTTGGAGAATAGAATGAAGTCACTATTGAGAACAATGAGAACTATGAAAAAAAACAATTGTTAGGACCATTGTTGTGGTCCTAAAAATGTTTTCGGTTACACTTTACTTGAAGGGGTGTGCATAAGACTGACATGACACCTTCATAATCATGACATGACACCTACATAATCATGACATGACACATGTCATGAATATGAAGGTTTTTTATGCATGTTTATGACTACTGTCATTAAGTTTCATTCGCTCAGTTATGCAATTTTTAATGCAAAGATGACATTTGTTGACTTTGTTATGGGCTATGGTTAGGGGTAAGAGTAGGGGTAGGGTTAGGTTAGGGTTAGGTCAAATAATGTCATATTTGCATTAAAAATGACATAACTGAGCGAATGACACTTAATGACAGTTGTCATAAACATGCATAAAACCTCCTTCATATTCATGACGTGTCATGTCATGATTATGAAGGTGTCATGTCAGTCTTATGCACACCCCTTCAAGTAAAGTGTTGCCATGTTTTCTTATTTATTGTTATTATTATTAGTAGTAATAATAGTAGTATTTATTTCTTTAGCACATGATTTTGTGAGTTTATGCATTTTTTGTACTGTATGTGTTCCAGCAACCCTGTGCACGGTGGATCAGTTTCAGTGCAGAGACAAATCATGTGTGTCAAACTCCAGTCGCTGTAACCAGGTGCTGGACTGTGAGGATGCCAGCGATGAAATGAACTGCTGTAAGTTTGTTCATTAAATCCTCATGAAATCAAAATTTACAATATGTATTTTGTTAGCGCACATTGTTAGTCTTAAAGGCACAATATGTAAGTTTTCGTCGCTAGAGGGCACATATTCAAAACAAACAAGAAACAAAGGCGTAGTTTGATGACGCCGTGACTGAGTGTGGAATCATGGGAGTTGTCGTCTTCATTCCCACAGCCAATGCAATCCGATGGGACTCGGGCAGAAATCATGTTCATGGATGAGCTAATGTATTAAAGACTTATTAAGGTCACTGTAGTATGAAGCAGGGTGGGGCTAAAAGTCGTGGAAGCGAAACAAGGCCGCTGGAGTAATTGCTAATGAAGGACGAGTGCGATACACGGCTCGATAGCAGCAGAGCTTTTATTATGCCACAGTCGACCGCTTCTGCTTCTTCCGGTCATGCATATGTGGGATAAAACAGCGCTGTTTTATACTAGATAAATTTGAGTGTATTGAAAGTTCCGTTATAATGCTACTCTGTGCGTTCGTCCCCTGTCTAATAAAATGCATAACATATTAAAGTGTCTTTGGGGTTTCCATGTTTTCAACAAAATAAAAGCGGAAAAATCGAGGGGTTATGACCAGTGCTTAATTTGTAAATGAAACATTGCCGGATCCAAATCAACAGTTAAAAGGCGCTGTGACCGACACTGACAATACAACTTCAGTTTTCCCGGAACATTCAATGACGTCACTAAACGGTGATGACACAATTATAAGAGCATCGTTCACAAGTTTCTACATGGACCTAACTATACAGCCTAGGTTTTCAAACCCTGTGTCAAAAATGGGTTGCCAGGATGAGTAAGGCAAATATATGTAAGTTAGGCTACATTAAAAATAACAAAAATTGTTTCCATAAAAATAAAATACAATCATAATCTATATAGAAAAGGTATAAATATGCGAAATAGGCCTATATCTGACATAAATAATTAACAGATATAAAACAGATGTGAGGCACGGCGATCCGCTAACAATTTCACGGAAAGGAAACCGAGAACCGAGATGACAGAACGCGCATCCTGTTTGTTTGCTTAGTTACAAAAACACGAAATGTTCTTTTTATTGCGAGTGTGCAAAAATAAAAATAAACATTTGCATTTACATTTAGTCATTTAGCAGACGCTTTTATCCAAAGCGACTCACAAATGAGGACAATGGAAGCAATCAAAACCAACAAAAGAGCAATGATATGCAAGTGCTAGCCTATAACAAGTGTCAGCTTAACATAGTACACATAGCAAGGTTTTTTTTTTATTATATAGGCCTAATAAATAAAAAGAAAACAGATCGAATAGAAAAAGAATAGAGCAAGTTATAGTGTTAGAGGCCTTTTTTGTTTTTGTTAATTGTATAATAAATAAAAAGAAAAGAAATAGATAGAATACAAAAAGAATAGAGAAGCTAGTGTTAGTTTTTTTATTACTTTTTATTTTTAACACTTTGCGGGTTGTTTTACTCTCATCTGTATGACCAAAAATGGAGTAGGCTATATGTGTCAGCTGTTTGATCGCGCCTCGCACACACACACACACACACACACACACACACACACACACCCTACCCCTAAACCTACCCCTTACAGGAAACTTTGTGCTATTTCAGATTTTCAATACACTCCATTCTGTGTGATTTATAAGCGTTTTGAAAAGTGGGGACATGGGGTAATGTCCTGAAAAGTCACCTTCTCCTTGTAATACCTATGTCATACCTTTGTCATTATACAAATGTATGTCCTCATTTGTCACAAAAACGCGCACAGACACACACCCACACCACACCACACCACACATTCTAGCAGTTCAAACTTGCCATCGCAGTCTGTTCATTATCAAAATAAAATACAGTCAGCCAAACATATCAATTTAAAGAGTCCGTAGTATAACCGGTCTACAGCTGCTGTTATGCCAAGCGCATTTTTGCGTATGTGAAGAGGATGATTTTTTCTGTCGATATGCGAACGCGCATGAAGCCTACATTATAAATAATAGTTATCATTGAACTACATTGCGAATATGGAAACATTGGATTTGTGCCGAATGAGAGAGGTACGTGAGCCCAACGGTACTCAGTTTCGCTTTGTTTTGGTTTCTTTAGCTTTATATCTTTTTCATTCTTGATCTGTTCTGCATACCGTTACATTTAAATGATTTGTTTTGGAGTGAGGGGAACTAGGCTATGATTATAGTGTTTATAATGTTTATACATTATAATATTTCACTTTATTTGGTATTATTTCTGGTATTTCTGATATTATTACACTCTCTCCAAACGTTCCGCTGCTCACAGAAGAGTGGAGAGAGTGGGTTAAGCAGTAGCACCAATCAACGAGAGCGATTTTGAATTTATGAAAGCTGATTGGTCAATAATATGTGAAGTACCAATACATCATCTACAAATCATGCTCCAAATACATCTACGTAAACCCGCAATCGCTCTGTCTCGTATGCACGCACGCACTGTCACGATCTAATGCACTTGTTAATGCCAGATCTTTAAAAACAAATTCCGGAACGTAAAAATCCAAAAATCTGACATTTTCCGGAACAGGATCCAGCTCAAATTAAGCACTGGATGACGTCATTGGCAGGTGACACAATGACACTATGGACACGGTCCGTTACACTAGTTAAAATTACTTAATTCTCTGGATTTAAACGTTCTTCAAAACATTTGGGATAATGTAAGTACACAAGTCAGCAAAATATATAACACTGTTCTAGTGGTTTTGGGATATTTTAATCAAAAAATCTTACATATTGTGCCTTTAAGGTGAACAATTAATCTGCAAATTAATCCACTGAAAGAAAAAAAAATTTTTTGTCATGGTAATCTTTAATCAAAATCAGATCCTTTGCTTCTGCTCTGGAATGGTGTTCCTTCTCTGATGACGTCAGTTTGAAGGCTCAGGCAGAATATGCTTAACCACGCCCCTCCAACCGAGTGAGACATGAGAGGAGGAGCACAAAAATGAAACCCCGCCCTCTATTCAATATTATGTCACCATACTGAAATAAAGTCGGCAGCAACTTCCGGATCACGCGGACTTTAATTAATTAATTAATTAATTAATTGATTTATTTACATGTAGATGAATAATAATATTCAGCCTTTTACTTAAAGTTCAGACTTGGATTAGTATATGAAGAGTTTGGTTCCAAAACGCTATAAATCCATTTTGCTTAATTTAAGTAAAAATGTGTTTTCTTTACCAAGAAAGTGGCAAGATGAAAACAGTTTCAAACTTTCACATAGCATCTTTAGGTTATAATAACATAAAAAATTCAAATCCAGATTTTGATTTTCAAAGATTTATGATGAATTATTTTTTTTTTCCATGACACTAAACGGTGACACAGGTTTTTTTTTTTTTTTCAAAATGCAATAAATCCATTGAATCAATATAAAAGTTATTTTTCATATTGAAACTGTTGAAAATACATAACATAGTAAGTTGATCCACATATGACAGCCTTTGCATATTGACAACTTGGTCAATACTAATCTTATATGCAGGCACTGGACTAAAAATACATTCAATCAGTCATCGCTCCCAAAAAGAATTCAACGGGTCATCTTGTTATAAATTAATTACAACAGGACTGGACTAAAAATACATTCAAATCAGTCATCGCTCCCAAAATGAATTCAATGGGTCATCTTGTTGTTAATGCTATAAATTAATTACAACAATAAAATAAAATTTCATCATGAACACACATGAACAACATCACATTAAACTACAGAAATTCTAAAATGACATTTCCCTTACATTCAACTTCCAAAAGTGCATTCATCTTTGCCATGTTACATTCATTTAGTTGACTAGTGCTATATGCTGTATTAACAAAAACATTAATGGCATAAATAAAAACACTTACACTGACAAGCTACGCAATATCGCGTTCATAATCGAATGCGACTCATCTGCGATTATTAACGCGATATTGCAGTGATCTACGGCTCTGTGTATTAACTGCCGCTCCATCTGAAAGCATGTGATGGAGATTTACTATTAATCATAGAACCGGCTTTACTGACGAGATGCGCATGACAATCACATGCGATTTATCGTGCAGCCCTAAGTTTGTTTGTTGATCACAAAGTACAAAGTAGATGAGGAAAACTAGGATGCCGGGTGTATTCAAAGCGCCGCCATTACTGTCTAGAGTGCGTGGAATGGTGCGCTGTGATTGGTTGAGCGGATATATTGCATTCTGCAGAGAAGGGAGACTGGCGTTGGTCGCGGTTGGGAAAAAAAGGGAGAAAATATGACAGAATAACTCGGCAGATATCGCATTTTGTGTAAAATTAAAAATGGACTTTTCAATACCGACCAGATACAATACTGATTTTAGCGGAAACTCAATTAAAAAAAAAAGGCATTTATCGCGTTTTGGAACCAAACTCTTCATATGTACCTGTGACATGCTGTTGATTACAAAAGGCAATGATTTTAACATCCCTCAGTTTATAAAAATGAACAGCTCGCAGTGCAATAAACTGAAAGAAATCAGCATTTATCATACTTTTGTAAAAGTTCATCCATAACCAAAACATACATGGTAACAAGAGATTCCTTGAATGTCGCACATACTGTACTGTTCTTTGATTCTTAAAGGGATAGTTCACCCAAAAATTTAAATTCTGTCATTAATTACGCACCCTCATGTCGTTCCAAACCCGTAAGACCTTCGTTCATCTTCTGAACACAAAGTAAGATATTTTTGAAGGAATCTGAGAGCTCTCTAACCCTCCCATAGACAGCAAGGATATCACCACAATCAACGCACAGAAACGTAGCAAGAACATCAGTAAAATAGTCCATGTGACATCAGGGGTTCAACTATAATTTTACAAAGCTACAAGAATACTTTTCATGCACAAAGAAAACAATAATAACATAATTTATTCAACAATTCTTCTCCCCGAGTTACCGTCTTCCACCATTTTGGAAAGTACCCCAGAACATAATCAACGTAATGAGCGTTATTTACGTTCAGCATGCACACGCTTTATCCTGAACGTAAACAGCGCTGATTACGACAGTAACTCAAGGAGAAAGACTGCTGAATAAATTATGTTATTATTGTTTTCTTTGCGCGCAAAAAGTATTCTCGTAGCTTCGTAAAATTATAGTTGAACCCCTGATGTCACATGCACTGTTTTACCGATGTCCTTGCTATGTTTCTGTGCGTTGATCGTGTTAGGATCCTTGCTGTCTATGGAGATCAGAGAGCTCTCGGAGTTCATCAAAAATATCTTAATTTGTGTTCCGAAGATGAACGGAGGTCTTATGGGTTTGAAACGACATGAGGGCGAGTAATTAATGACAGAATTTTCATTTTTGGGTGAACTATCCCTTTAAGCATTTGTCACATGTCTTGTTTTTCAGCGGCCTCCGATTGTTCCAGTTATTTCCGTCTGGGTGTGAAAGGCGGGACCTATCAGAGGTGTGAGTTCACTACGCTGTGTTACGCTCCATCATGGGTCTGTGACGGTGCAAACGACTGTGGAGACTATTCAGATGAGAGAAACTGCCCAGGTGAGCACACGCATACTTCAGCCGTGAGCTGCATTTCAGACCCTGTGAAACTGACGTCTTTCCTGGTCTTTTCCTTTTAAAGTAATGAAACTAAAACCTTTTTTTTTTTCAATTAGGTATATGTACAGTAGACTTTAAACAAAACAGCCTTTAAACCTCTAAGCACTTCTCTCTTATATCTTTTCACTCATCAGATAAGAAAAAGAGAAAGTGTCCATCAAACTTCTTTTCTTGTCCCAATGGTCGCTGTATCCCAATGAGCTGGACCTGCGACAAGGAGAACGACTGTGAGAACGGAGACGACGAGGCGAACTGCAGTGAGTTTGTGTTTCTGTCATCGACTTCTGCTGTGGTTATACTGACCCCTAGCAATACACTACCTCTTATTTTTGCCATTTTTTATTATTTAGACATTATTAATAAACATATGTGACCCTGGACCACAAAACCAGTCATAAGGGTCAATTTTTCAAAATTGAGATTTATACATCAAATAAATCATACATCTGAATAAATAAGCTTTCCATTGATGTATGGTTTGTTAGGATAGGACAATATTTGGCCGAGATACAACTATTTATATGACCCCTTTAAGACTGGTTTTGTGCTCCAGGGTCACATATAGTATGTTTATTAAGCACGTTTTCCTCAGAAGTTTGGCTACTCCTTAAATTTGATATTTAAAATGGGGACATACTGTGGATTTTATTGTTTTTATATAAAGCTGAATAAAATTGACTTATCCTAGCCTACAACCTAAAAAAACTAACTAGGATAAAAAAAAAAGAAATTTTTTAGGATTAAAAACATTCTTTATTTATAAATGGACAAACAGCAGGAAGTGATTAAAATTGCAATTGTATTAATTAAAAACAGCATCAAATAGTACATTTTAAAGTGTAAAGAATAGCGTGAATAAAGAATCACAGACAGTAGGAACATAGATTCAGACACAAGGAAAACCAGAATCCAAATGCATGAAGTTTAATAATAATAATAATAAACAAAATACAGAAACCAAGAAAACGGAGCTATACTTAACTAACTTAACTACTATGTATGTATTGTTTTATTGTTCTCTGTTTTTAGTAAGTGCCTTGATAAGCTTTCTTTAAAGACGTTATATAAAAGACATTTTTTGGTCACTCTTTAGTTTGGGGATCAATTCTGACTATGAAATAACTATTAACTACAGCTTTTGCAACAATAAACTCCTAATTTGCATTTTTTAAAATATTTAGTAAGGCCATGTCCACACGTACACGGGTATTTTTATAAACTGAGTTTTTCCTTCTTCCGTTTTTAAAAAAATCTCCGTCCACATGAAAACGCAAAAGCATGCTATGAAGCACTGTCAAGAGCATGCCAAGCCAACAGGTGGCGATATAATCTCAACCATGAAGCCATGTTGGCCAATCAGAAGCCTGAAAAAGTTTCCAGTCTACACGATAACACTGCAACCAGAGTTTTTGAAAATCTTCACCCTGGCAGGCGTTTTCAAAAATGTTCAGTTTCCGTGACCTGGTGCTGCATTTGCGTGTGGACGCACGGCCTAACCGCGTAGAAAAAGCTGCGGTTTTAAAAATAACCGCGTTCGTGTGGACAGGGCCTAAGATAGTTGTTGCGTTTATGGTATGGTATGGTGTAGGATTAAGGGATTTAAAATATGCTCATGCAGAATAAGGCATTAATATCTGCTTTATAAGTACTAATAAACAGCAATTATGCTAGTAATATGTATGTTAATAATCAACAAGTTTATAGTGTGAACTGGTCCCTAAACAAAAGTGTTACCAAACTATTCTTTATTAATATTAGTATTATTATTTTTAAACATAAACTGAACTAAATACAACTCAAGAGTAAACATGATGCAAGTCAACATTACAAAACAAAACTCTTTTTATGTATTCTGTGTCTTTGTGTTTTTTTTTTCGCATTTATAAACATTTATTCATTTTTCCAAATTAGGTTTTGTCAGATTTATATCACTTAAATTTTGTTCCCAGCTTTGCACAGTTCATTTGAGGTCAGTCTTTCCAGAATGTTTGAAACGAGTTCTTTCTGTGAAGAATCTTTTGAATAATTAACTAACGGCTCACTTAATGATTCTCCTCAGATAAGTTCTGCTCGGCGACACAGTTTGAGTGCGGGAATCATCGCTGTATTTCCAGCAGCTGGGTGTGTGACGGGGCAGACGACTGTGGAGACGGAACAGATGAGGACAGCAGATGCAGTGAGTGCTGATCCTTAAAACAGCATGAAATAGGACTTTTCAAAGTGTGACCAATAGCGTGACTGATGAATCAGAGAATAAGACCGCATCATAGATGAGTGTGATTTTTTCTCTGTGTTGCTGAATGGTGTGTGTTTTTAACTCAGAGAATAAGACGTGCAGTGCGGACGCGTTCCACTGTCCCGACTCACACAAGTGTGTCCCGCAGCGCTGGGTGTGTGACGGAGACAGAGACTGTCCAGACGGAGCCGACGAGAGCATGAAGGCCGGCTGTGGTGAGCCATCACAAACATCATTCGCCTTGGTGCAAATACTGCGTGAATCACTCACGTTCAAGTGTACTGTTGTTTCTTTTTCACTCAGTGTTCAATAACACGTGTAAAGCGGGAGAGTTCATGTGCCAGAACAGACAGTGCATCCCCAAACACTTCATGTGTGACCACGACAACGACTGCGGCGACGGCTCCGACGAGTCTCTGGAGTGCGGTGTGTTCCTGATTATATCAAACCAAGATGATTATCTCATAATTACCATCGTTAATGAGATGAATTATGGCTAATGATTTGTAAGATGTCAATACTTGACTCTCACTTGAATTAAATCAAGGCCTTAGTCATACAAAACAAATGTAAGTACAGAAGAATTAGAATTGTTGGGAGTATTTGTATACAGAAATTGTCTCTCTAATTACACATGAATAAATGAGTTATCATTTGAAAATATTGCAAATTTACAATACAGTATATATTGATATGTTTACACTAGATGTTCATATGGAAATGAATGTAGGAGAACGGAAATATAGGCACGTATGAATACATTTTATTTTATCCCGTATTAAAAAGAAGCCCTAGACTGTGACATATATTCCTGGTTATCTAAACTAAGACGTAAACCGTTAAAAACAAAAACTAACTAACTAAATAAATAAAATTAATTTAAATAAAATAAACATTAACTGAAATTATATATATATATTTGAATTCTTTTTTTTTTATTTCAGCTAGTTGACAAAATAATACCTTTAAAAATGTGTACCTTGAAAAAAAATAA